CATGCCTTGGGATTTGTCTGGCAAAAAGAAAACTCTGACGGTGACTCCCGTGAATATGCGCTTCGAGTGCTACTAGCACGGCACAATGCCTCAGGTAGATTATTCTTGACCACCATTGTTCCAAGAGGAAATTGGAAGAAATATGTCCTATCAGGTTCTGCCTTTGGTACTATCATTCGCGTTGGCAAACCCGATGGTGTGTTATCAGCATGAAGTATCTACAGAAAGAAAATCATCCGGAATGTCGAGGCAAATAATTGGACAGAATGTCGTAGTCTTCATGCCGCAGCTGGAACGGAAGGCACCGATGACAATGTGGGACCGAACAGGAGTAGACGTCGAAGATGGCGGAGCTTTGACTGAGACTTATAAGAATACTTCTTTGGCCCGGGGCTTACTTGTCAAAGCGATTGAAAGAATGACCTGGTGGTTATTCAGTTCAGAGCTATTGAGATGAAGCCGAGCTTGACGGGCCCAAATTGGCATTGGTTGGGATGACCGATATCTTCCAGCCTTGGATGCTGCCCATTATTCTTGCTGCCCATAGTCACCCTAACTCCTCCTGCGCATTGAAGCAGGTGGTAAAGAGAGTATCGGGAAAGGCTAAATTCTAGGAAAAGTGAATCCGTGAAACAAGTGGGTTTGGATTTCTGGACAGAGATATAAATCCAAGCAGAGCTTAAGAATGCCAATATTCCTTGAGAGCAAAGATCGGAGAGAAGCTCGACGGAGAGAAACAGACCGCGTGAAATGCGGTCATAGTGCACAATCCGACCAGAGGCTTCAGCATGGCGTCCGCCAGGATATAACCAAGAGCAGGTCAAGTAAGGAATCGAAGGGCACATGTCATGAGGAAAGCTTGTCGATGCAGCAATATGTATAGGCTGATGAGGCCGAGCTACTATGTACAGAGAAGTTGTCCGGTCACAGACTGATGTAGTACTCAGCGACGCGGAGTAAAGAAGCAAATACACGCTCAATGGGATATTTTCCCTGAAACTCCACGCTCAAACATGAAAAGACAGGATGGCACCAACAAAGACTCGCTTAGCAAGCAGACAAAGAAGTCTGGCCCTTGCAGTTGGCGGTGGTGCTGACCTTGGAGCTCTCGCCGCTGCCCTTGGAGACACCCTTGTACTCCTGGCAGACCTTGGAGACGCTGGAACCGCAAGTGTTGGAGATGGTGGCGACGTCGCCGTAGTTGGAGTTGATGCCGACGAGCTCCTTGACGCTCTTGGCCTTGACGTTCTTGACGATGACGTTGCGGGGGCCGCCGTTGTTGGTGCAGTCGCCGCAGCCGCGGTAGAGCTTGCCGGCGGTGACGACGGTGAAGCCGTCGATGGTGACGGTGCCGCGGCCGTTGTGCTGGACGACCTTGTCGACGGCGTTCTGGGCGCCACCGCCCTGGATGAGGACATCACCGGTGCCAAGAGCGGAGATTGCATCTGTAAATAGGGGTTAATAAGCATGTCTTGAAGGGTTCGAAGCAGAACATAGGAGTGAACATACCCTCGCAGACGTCACGGAACCAGACGTTCTTGAGAGTGCAGGCACCCTTGCAGTGGACGCCCTCGAGCTGGTTGGCGCCAATAATGACGTTGCTCAGAGTGGCGCCGTTCTCGAGAATGAAGACGGCGGAGTCACTGCCAGTGTCGGCGTCAGTGTCGCAGGCACGGCCACGGTCGAACTCCTTGTTGGCGTAGTCCTTGGAGCCCGAGATCGTGGAGGGAGCGGAGAGGGAGACGATGGAACCGCTGCGAGTGGGAATGTTGAGAGTCTGGGCGGTGGCCATGCCAGCCAGGAGGGCGGAGACGAAAACCTTGGTCTGCATTTTGAGAGATGAGGTTGGCTTTGCTGAGAGAAGCTGGGCTTAAGAGACTGTGAGGCTGTTGGAAGATGTCCTGAGTGAGCGTGGTGAAGAGAGAAGGGCAAGAAGGAACTGCGAGGATATTCTCAGAGTATTTATGTTGTTGCGAGTCGTCTCCTGAATATCATGTCAATTTCACGAAGGAGACATTCCAAGATTCCATCGCGGAAGAAAAGTTTCACATTGATCGCAGAGCCCAGATCGTACAACACCAGCTCACTAGTAACCGTCCGATATCTCCACCTACAATCATGAGAGCCAAGTAACCAAGAATCTCCTTGGTGGAAATATCAGACGTTGATACCGGTATACCACAAAAGCAATCAAATCTGGTACGCCGTCAACGGATCCTCGCCCGAGTACCTGTACGTGGGTGGCGGCCGCGCTGCTCACCCAAGCATCCATGCTTCTCATGTACCGATGCCCATAACCCACCAATTGGCACGTTGTGGGATGAGAGCCGTCAACCTAGTCCCGGTAGTCAAAGGCTCCAGATAGTCTATTGTGGGTGGAGGCACTACGGCCGTGCCTAACTTCATCTGTTCTCTCTTAGACAACTTGGGACATCAAAGGTCTTGGGCCTATTGGGGGCGATAGTGGTCTGTGGTGACTGGCCTCGTGGCTTGCGGACCCCGACGACAAACAGCCTGATGAAGCCAATGAGAGTACATCTTGTACGCACTTGCTGGCCTGGTAGGACTTGGCAGATAATCTACTCAATACGGGCAGGTAAGGGGTATGTCTTTAAGCACAGCCCCCTTTTACGTGTGAGTCTCATCGGGGGTGGAGAAGGCAAGAGCTGCTTCCTGGCTAGGAAACGTAGGCGATGGTTGTCTCTTCTCTAGGAAGTCGGTGGTTAAGAATGTGGATGCAGAGAGACGGCGCCCCGGTGGCTTGTTTCTCCAACTCGGGCATCTAGGCCCTTCCGATGGATACTCCGAACCCCACGCCCGAACCACTGCTAAGAGGGCCAAAACCGGGGTGCCTTCCTGTGCTAGTCACCTTTGGGTACGCTTCTAGAGACATAGAGACAAATTCGAGGTGGGAGAGAATCACGCAACACGGCGCATCGCCCAAAGGAAGGGGCCGAAAGGGTGGTGTAAGCCGGCAACGTTCCCCATGAGGAAACGCTTCCCAGTGTGTGGCAGACACTATCAGAAGCGGCAGGTAGGCGAGTAGAATCCTGACGGTTATCTGAGGTTATCTGATATCATCGCGGTTGGAGTGACATTCGGATCAAAGAGGCGAGCAGAATATCCCCAACCTGCAGCTGAGAATTTAAGCCTAAACAGTAGCTTACTTGCGCACATGCAGGGCCACTGGCGTTTAGGGGAAAAAAGAGCGCGCATCACTTCGACTACCGTGACTAATCCCGCAGACGTGGAGCCGGGGGGGTTAGTGGTACTGGTGAACCGTGACCACTGACACTGACAACTGGGGCAGGCATTTGTCTCGGTAGATCTTAGAACGTACTCCGGTACTGCAGTATGAATCCGGGGCTTTTCTCCGTCAAGTGTCACAAGATTGAACAAAGGTGCGGCCAGAACATTGAGAAGAGGGGCATTTGCGATGGAAAAAATAATAATGGAAATTGGACGGACGATGCCAAGAGCTTCGAGTCAAGCAAAGCGCGTCGACACTAAGGCCATTTGAGGCTCTTGGCACTGCAACCCCTTGCCAAGTCTCACCGCGCCGTTGAGAGTCTTTGAGAGTAGATTGGCTCAACTTGCCCGCGAAGAAACAACATTCAACATATCCCGTGTCTTGGCATCGCGCCAAGCCCCCTTCTGGATGCGATGGATGTTGTGGAGCCTGCAACTCATTGATGGAAATCTCCTTTTTCCATTGATCGGCAGCCCTCAAATCAGATGTATCTCGTCCGGTCGCGTTGGTCACTTGGTCTAAAGGAAAGTAAGAAGGTGGAAGGGGAGACAATTCGGATGGATGATAAGCAAGATCGGGAATGCAACGATACAAAATCTCTACAGTCTTTTCATACAGAAAACACGCGCACGGCTAAGACCCTTTCAGAGTTTATGAATAAGCCATATAATTACTACAATATGCGCACCCATATTGCCTGGCCACGCGACCCTCAGAAAGTGAAGAGATACCTTGACCTTACTGCGGCGGAAACTGACACCTCGGAAACAAATCTCTCAATCGTTCTAGCCTGAAGAACCCCATCTCACTTAGTCCATGTCTCTTGCAATACGAGTTCATCTACAGGAGTCAAGACAAGACGTCGCGGGATGTGGGATCCGGCTTTAGAAACCACAACTTGCCTAGCGTCAAGATCTAGTCTGATGAGATTGCGTACTCCCGTGAGCCTTGAGTTACCTTTGCTCAGCAACCAGCCCTACGACTCTAGGTTCGCAGCTCCGCGTTCCGCAGACATGGGCGTCCTTTCATCAACCCAGGTCCCCTGTGTCGAGCAGACAAACGGTCCCAAGGTCTACTTTAACTATAGGTAGACGCTTGAGTCAGAGTTTCGGGCAGTTGTGGGCTGTGATGCGCTTATTTCGACATACGCAATGTGCCAAGCTTTGTAAATTGAAACTCTGTTTCCAGACCACAACAAGGGAACATCTGCTTGGCGAGGATCAGTGAGCTGATCAAAGCTCGCGATAGTTACGGGCCGAGACGCCACGGTCTCGCACGAGTCATTTCATTTGGGCATACGGATAGAGTAGTCGCTGAACGACTTGCCATGAAGCTTCACCGACACTGCGAATGGTTCCCGCTTTCGCGCCCAAGCAGGAATGTCTACGGACAGTTTCCAAACAACCCGTTGAGGAAGTCGGACATCAAAGTGGATAGCTCGTAACGAACAGAGGCAAACCGATACAAATTGATTGCTTGTTTATTTGTCTCGCATTCGGATGTCACGAAGCTTGATGGTCGAATGAAGAAGGCAAATTGTGGCCACTGAAAGAAAACAAACGACCCAATCGATCAAAGATTTTGCACTTCTGTACCCGCAGTTGCCATTCGAATGAGGCATTGTTGCGCAAGGCTTTGGCACCCAACCTCGGCTTCTCCGGAACCGCCGGAACAACACGTCGGCTCTGACACATAATATCGACCAGAATATCACCTGCCCTCAATGATCATGAGTCTCGGAGATCCTCGCTCAACATTCACCCGTTGCGCTTCCTCCAACACAAGGAGTCCCAGTACAATTGAAGCCCTGCGGGCTCACAGCATTTCCGCAAAGGTATGAAGTGGCAGCAGTCCCGTTGGCAAACTCTAGGTCGACATCGAAGAGACCGATGTTGGTGCAGGGTGCAACAGCACTGCATTGGAGACTGGCAACGCGGGATGACTTGGTCGTGCCGACCATGCCATTGAGGGTGATGTCACGAATCTGGAATTGCGAGTTGGTGCAGTTGCCCACTCCAGGTGCGCCGCGGAAACGGGTGCACTGGGAGATTGCAAATGCAGCACCGCGCATGCCCTGAACGGTGAGGTTCTTGAAAGACATATCCGACGCAACTGCAGAGTCAAGGTCGTTAGAGAAATTCTCACCAGGAGTGTTACTGCGTGTTCACAGCTTCAGACTTACAACCAAGCCCGCCGCCGCCGCCATTGGGAGGGTAGCCGTTCTGATCATCCGTCCAAGTTTTGAAGTAGACCTGAGGACATCGTTAGCACTGACGGGCTCTCATGGATTTGAAAGAGAAGGGCGAGGAGGACTAACGGCATGCAACGTGTTGTCAAAGAAGCAATTCTCGACTTTCAGCCTCTCGATGGTCTCAAACTGGTCGTTGTATTGTCCAATGCTACCAAGCGCAATGCCTAAGCCATTGTAGAACTTGGAGTTTGTAATGCTGACATCAGTGCTGTTTGCCTTGAGAGAGATGCTATCGTCGCCGCTGTAGACAGTCCAGTTATTGAACTTGATGCCGGAGGACCGGATCGTGTCGGCTCCGTCCGTGTTCGCTATGCGAAGTCAGCGAGACTCATTGTCTTGCCAAAGGCAGAGTTCAAAGCAAGTTGTCCTGGACGTACAGCTTTGGAATCGGTTTCCGGTGTTGTTGACCAAGATGCTATCGAGGACAACGTTGTGAGAGTAGATGATGGACAAGGTCCTGCCAGAATGAGTGACGTTCTATCTTATACTAAGGTGCGGGAACATGTACTTACCACATCTGACTTCTCAAGAAGTTTACCCCCTTCACAACAGAGTTTCTCAACCCGTTGAGAGTGAGAGCATGCGGACGACCAGGGTAATTGGAAGTGTTGGCCTGCTGTCTGATCCACTCATACCAGTAGTCGCCGTTACCATCAAAAGTGCCTTGCCCATGGCCGTTGAGACGAACGTTGTTACCGCCGAGGATGAATGCAGTGGACTGATTCTGATACCCCACGTCCAGCGAGTTGGCAAGCCAGTACGAGATGTTCGTACTCCACTAACAGCCGGTAGTCTCACGTTAGTCGATCGCCATAAAACGAAAGTCTCGGTATTGTTTGGCTTGGCGCATGACTCAAATTGAACCAAGATCGGGAAGGGGGCCAACAAGCCTGTCGTGGAACGGTGACGTACCAGCAGAGTTCCCTGAAGATCAATCTCGACGTCGTCCAGCCAAGTGACATTCAGAGCGGAGTTGACAAAGTATGTCGTTGGCTCGAACACAACCTTGCCGCGCCGGCCGCACTGCGTGAATGCCTCGAGTATAGCAGGAGCGTCGTCGGTCGTGTTGGTCCCGCTGGCCTTGACAACACAAGTCTTGCGTCCAGCGGTGTCTTCAGTCTCTTGGGCACAAACCTTGGAAGCTGAAGCAAGTAGAGTGCAAAGCACGCCAACAGCCCAGGAATAGTGCATGTTCAAACAACGTGTAACAGGTCCTTTGAGCTGGGCTGAGAACACGGGGTCCAGTGGCTGACGGTTGAAAAAGCGATGAACGACAGGATTGGCTCAGAACATCAGCTGAAAGACAGAAGACCCTAGCGCTACCTCCCACCGGCAAACCGTGACGGTGCCCAAGGATTGAATAGTTTCCTAGCATCGTCAAATCGGGCTTTTCCCGGCCGAGTCTCCGCGGTCTCAGCGTCGTGTTTAGTCGGTCGCACTGAAATCTCGCGCCGGATTCCTTGGGGCCAGCATCGGAGTTACATCGTTGCCGTTCGACCGGTTGGATTTTGCACGAATCATGAAGGAGGAGGTACGCGAAGGCCTAGAGATCTCCACGTTTATGACTAAATTTGTACGGTGTCGATCGGTTGGCGATTGATAATGCGGAGGCGGGGTGATGCGGGGAAAGCATATTATTTCCCCGGTCACTTGTTGCGCAACGAGAATGACTTCAAAGAACATACATCTATCAGTTGCGTACTACATGGCAACCATTGTAAGGCGTTTTACTTTTCCATGAAACTTAAGAGGATATGATCCATTCCTCCTCGAACTCCAAAGGCTTCATCACGGGGCAGTATGGGACGAACTTCCTTCGATCCGGGCCCTCCGTGACAATAGCCAACAATGTTCAGACACTCAAATACGTTCCGTTGTGCGAAGGTAATTCTCAACTGCATCGGATTCCGAAAGCCCCCTGCTCATACCCAACACCCAATCCAAATTCATACAATGGAGTCACCATCGCTATTGACCTCCTTCGCCATCTGTTCCCTAGCTTTCTTCTCTTCTGCTTCCATCCACTTCCTCATACCCCAGACAGTGATCAATGTGATCACGATTACAAGGACGCCATAGAGAGCGATCCACGGCGAGATGATTTGATTACCATCTGGGGGAGTCCAATTGAAGAAAGACATGGAGAAAAGGGACTTGCGATGCATCAGCTTACTTGTTCTTACGCGACCGCTCAAATATATTGCAGAAACGGATGAACTTACTGCAAGAAATGTTCCAGGCAGGAAGATCATCCCTAGCAGGGAAATGCTTCTCATTTGGCTGCCGTCTCTCTTCGTAGCATTTGCAATGATGATGGATACTTTAGCGTCTCGTCTCGTGTAGTAGTTTGATTCCTAGCCATGAGCGTCAGTCCCGCAACTAGAGAATCAACGAAAGCGTTTTGCTAATGCTCACCATTTGTGCAGCTAGGGACATCCCGCCGAGGAGAGCTTCACAGCTTCGGATCTTGCTTCCCAACTCATCAACCATCTCGCGTAATCTCATCTCAATCCTGCTTCCTGCTCTTCGTTCTTCGGCATGTTCATCAATCTTATTGCTACCTTCGACAGGTGACTTGAAGTATGTCGTAGCTAGATTTCCTGAGTGTTCCATCATGTTCTGCAGCTGAGTCCTGAGACTATGGAGTCCATTTTGGAGACTACTGACATCCATCCAAAGTTTGGTCGACTCACAATCTCTCGTTTGTGATGTGGGCTCAGAATCTGCCTTCTCAGAAATAGAACTCTGGTCTTCACCTCGAAGCTTGTTTTCCAACTCCAAGATACGTTTGGCAAGCGCCTCTTTCTCCCTGTCAAGCAAACCTACCAGGCGTGCGCGTTCTAGTTCCGCGAATATTACTGGCATAGCGAGAGGATGAAAGGCCTGTCCACCAAAGTCTTCCAGGCACTTAATAGTTGACTCAATGACGGGCTGCGTGCAGCCATACATGGCTGCGTAAGCTGTGCCAAGAGTCGGAAATGAAGTGACTGACAGCGCAACATCGTCTGGACGATTCACTGTCGGCGGTGGGCTTTCAATGTCGGACTTGCAGTTGTACACTGCGCTTCATGTTAGAGCCTCGAAACTCCATGGTGACAACTACCCGGCGGACTCAAAGGGTGGATGTGAATAGCACTTGACAACAGGATAGAGCTCCTCTGAAATGGTTTTCTTACCTATGGATGGCAAAGAAGTGAGACTGCCCTCCCACCCCACAATGTTGTGGGTGATGAGCGCGGTAGAGGCTCTCTTGAACAGGAGCGCCAGCGAACGGTGCTGATATAGTTTTTGAGTTATTTTTCTGAAAGTGCTCTTCCCGTATGGCAGTGACCTGGTTCCCAGTGGGTCGGTTGCATCCAGCCTATGATGCATCACAAGCACCAGGCCTGGCACCTCAAGAGGCGACTTCTCCTATGATGTATGTGGTAAGCAGACTAGCCCTGGTGAAACGGAGAACCATTTGCTCGAGGTACTTACCAATTCTAGCCATTTCAGAAACTCATCTTCTGTGGTGAACTCTAAGGTTTTTGGCTTTGAGATGCGATTAATTTTGACTAGGCTGGACTAAAGACACATGAAATAAACTGGAAACTCACATGATTGTCAGACTTTCGTAAAGTCACAGTCGATATCTTGAAAGACTCTTCCGGAGAAAATTCAAGTTTATTCAAGTCTCTTTTGAGAAAGTCTGATCTTTGACTGATCCATTCCATCGTGACAACAAGTGATACGCGACTTCAGCATCTGGATCAACGAGGGAAAGAGCTAAGGTGTTTTCACGATGTTGGGCACTTGCTTCAGCTTATACTTGTATAGTGAATCAATTGCACGACTTGCCAGCAAAAGATTCTGGCGTGCATCAGCCCGCTCATTAGTGTGTGTGTAGCATTGAAACCCAATGGTCCAGACTGATGTCAACGGCAGTTTCCTGGCCCCCGACCTGCCTGAGACTCTATGTGGATTAAAGGTTCAAACTTGTGCTTTGCCATTGACCCTGCGCCATGATGACTGCAGATGCACTCAACTAGACCAATCAGTGCTATATCCGCTCCCGTCCTTTCACGTAACTCGATGAGCTGTTGTTGGTTGCAATACTGCATGAACAATACCACCGAAATTATGAGCCTGGTAGTGACATACGGTGCCCCGAGCCTCACTTGTGATACAACACACAGCCTGCTTTTTTAGCGCGACTGAAGGCATTGGGGGTAATGCACGTGGACTAAAAGTCATATCATGATACCTTAGCCGACGCCGTGTGCTGACACCTCTTAGCTCGCGGTGGAAGTACAGGCGATGATAAGCCATTTGCCCAGCCATGGCGCCATGTATGCGTGCGCCTGAAAAGGTGCCTCGGGAACTCAGCCACTCACTTTTCTGGATGACACCGAAGCCACCTTCAGTGGTTCGCAAAATGAAGAACTGCACTTTGCCTCGCTGGAGCCTGGCGAGCATCTGGCTCTGATGACCAAAATGCGAGAATTTGAAGAATGCGCACCCTCTTTGTATAACTCGCGAAGTCTTCACTAGACAACAAATTCTTTGGTTTGCGAACTTGTATTTGTATTCTTAAAAGCCCCGTCGTTGCTTTACATGGATGATACAAATATCCGATCTTGGGCATCAAGGCTCAAGAGCTACATCCCGACTTTCGGCAAACGAGATAAAATGGCCAATACGGAAGAATTTATCGCGACCGACACGATAATCGATCGATATGCCGACGTGAAGGTTTTGCAGAAAACGCTTTTGAGATTCAAGTTTCCCAAGGAGACGATTAAGGTGAAGGTAAGGCGTCGCCCAAGCCTCGCTCCCGTCCTTTCACATCCAGATAACATACTGATTCCTGATTTAGGCAACAAAAGCCGACTGTCTCAAGGTTCAACTTCCTCGAAAGTTGACCCCAGTGAGTCTAGATATCTCTTGGCTGGATGAATTTCTATGAAGTCATTTCACCGTCTGACCTAGGTGCTTGCCGTGAAACTAGGAGGAGATAGAAAACGTTCACGCTGCCCTCAAGAAGGCGAAAGAGGTAGACTCTGAAGAAGAATGAACTCTTTCGGGACACTTGCAGTGGAGAGAATTAATCTTGGGCGCATTGTCTGTCATTTTTGGGCGTGATTCCGGATCGTGATAAGTAGGTATTAGCTACATCGTCGACGAGCGGGGGTTATGCGTCTGCATGACCCCTCCTCTCGGTCTCCGTTGATAAGGTAGATGGACGTTCGTGGAACTGAAATACATGTGAATAATAATTCACAATTCCACCGCAAGAAAGCCTGGTGATGACAGACGTAATTCCTTACCATACTCGAAAATTTGTAAGCGTGCAGTGCCTTCTACTGCCTCCCCAGACTTGCCGTATTAATAGTGAAGTGGGGATTCCCAATCCTTGAGTGCCACGTCGTTGCCGTATCTCGCATATTCAAGGTTGAGGTGATGTAACATCCGGTCTTCCACATTGCATCTGCAGGCTTTCAGAATTATCAGCGAAGGGCTTGCTTCATTCGTCCGTGACTACTTCAGTCGGATGGAGGCTTCGAGTCTGGACCACCTGCTGTTTGAAGCTCTGCTTCCACACTTGCAGGACATCTCGAACCTCATTCGACGCTGCCCGCGTACTGCCGTCTATGAGCAGCATTCTTGACTGGACAAGACTTAGGAATCTCTTCAAATACTCTGTGCACCGTGCATGGGCGCGGAGACGTTGAAATTGCTGACACCAGATTTCCGTCAGCATCACAAATTGGGCAGAATCGTCGATCATTGGATATTCAAACACTCACCGAAGTAACCGAGGGCTTTAGATCTGCAACAATGGTCCGAGGACCTCTTCTTGGCCACCACCATGTCCCTCGTTGCACCCTCTTCTTGAAGAAAGTATCTTCCAGTACCGGCGGGAACTCCAGGTCGACATCGATCTCATCTGTCTCCTGAAGGCGGTTTTCGCGGAAGCTCTCGACTCCAGCCCACCCTTCCATGGCCCAGGTGATGAAGTCGAGAAACAAGCATCCCAAGCACCATATATCGAACGACTCATCCACCCTGGATCTCTCGAAATCTCTTTCAGGTGGCCGGTATGTCTTTGTCTCCGCCTTCTGCGTCGGACGTGTCGGAGAATTACGATTGAAAGGCTTAGATAGACCAAAGTCCGTTAGCTTCAAATCGTATGAGACTTTGCCATCGTGGGACTGTTGGAAGCAGACAACGTTCTCCGGCTTGATGTCGAGATGAAGTTGGGCCTCGGAAGAGTACCCCCCTTCGCGGGAATCATAGCCATGAACCGTGGCCACGGCGTCGGCGATGAAGTAGCATTGGTCTATCATCCATTGAACTGAGTACCAAGAGGGCCAATGCTCCGTTGAATCATGATGTAAGTCGTGCTTTCTCCATAAGTCATAGAGACTGTCGCCGTCAGCCCAGGGAAACAGGAGATAATATCGATTTCGGTGTTTGAAGGCAGAAAATAGCGGTGTTATACGGGGATGGGTTGTCCTTTGGTTGGCAGCAATCTCATCCATAAAAGAAGTTTCGGCAGCCTTGGTCGTATGCTTCTTGTCGGTGATCTTCAACGCAAAATATTCTATAGGTATTCCAGCTTGCTAAGACACGAGAAGTTATTAGTAAATATGGCCTGATCGGTGATCAATCCGATTTGCAAACTTGCATCTGAGAAATCGTGATGATCTCGGTGTATCTTGATTCTTTGCACAAACGAGACTTGTCCATCAAGTATCCTCCCCTGCATGTCGAGCTCTGACCACGGCAACGAAATCTCATCATGCAATAGATGATAAGGCTGCTCATCAACATTTGTCCTCGATTGACTGAAGTACGGAGACCTCATATGCCACTGCAGCTGGTGAAATAGCTCCTGATCATGTGCATCTAGGGCTTGCAGGACGTCCCGAAGCGCCTCAGCAGCACGGGAAAAGTAGGTTGGCAAGGTTGGATCGCTGCATGGCCAAGCTCCATCACAAATATGAACTGAAGTTTGATAAATATCCAATATTACTTCCTGTTTCCCAAGGATGAATAATGTTGCGAAGATAATTCTCAGTCCTGTGCACAAAGCATCCTTACAACAAGGACATCTTTGATGCTTGCTGGGACTAATGAAACGTGCAATTTCGGCAATTTTAGTCTTGTCGGAGGGAATGAATGTGCTTAACAAGCCTGACACCTTCTTTTGGTCGAATTGGGACACTAAACTGCCCCGTGGAACGAACCGATTGCGTTTGTCGTTGAGATCTTGGCATGAAGCACGCAGGAGGATGCAGGCGATATCATCCCTAGCGGCGCCGACGTCGAATGACTGTGGCATTAGGCAAGCTCGGTTCTCGAGACCCGGACTGGTTTTGGAGATCTGTAAGGTATTTCTTAGCGGCCTGGAATGACTTGGAAATCAGATACGTGCAGAAAGATTGCTTTTTAACCCACAAAAGGCAGGAACATCCACACGAAGCACAACAGTGGACATTACGCTGTGGCTGCAGCACGCATGCCTCTCTCTCTGCCATAGTGCGACATGTCGACAGCTAAACAGCGCATGCAGTAAGAAAGCAACCCACCTGTTTACCTGTTCAAGGCTTGGAGAGAGATCCGTGATAGGTTATGTTGTGAGGAAGTAGTTCGGTGTAGTCGTTTAGTCGAAGAAGCACTACCGGTTTGTTCGGGATTGGATGGATGAGGATATGTAGATCTAAGTAGTGGTCATGATCCGCGAAAGAGTTGGACGCAAGTGTGTTTTTGAGCTGTGAAAATGCCGTAAGGCTCCCACGTCCTTTGCTGCCTGTTTCTGGCGCGGCATTGCCATAGGCGGTGTTGCCATAGCCACCGCTTTGCGCAGCTGACAGTCACAGTTTCCCGTCAATGTGCAGATTTGAACGTGACAAATTTGACTCGAAGCTCGAGGCAGGCCGCGAAATTGACGGCCGTAGACACCGAACCCACCTTTCAGAAAAGGATTGAACCAATCGAAAATTATGATTGGTCTATGATACGATGGGAAACATGAGAGAAGTCATTCGTCTCCTATGGTGGGAATATCCAACATGCGTATTACACTGGACCATCCACACCGTGACCGCCAGGCCCTCAGCCTGCTGCACCACACCACTGCCATCCAACATGAAGCCATGTTTTCACCCGATAGCAAGTAGGTACTCCGTAGGCAGCCAGGCATACTGAGCGATGTCACTGTCGATCGATAAAACCCCGCACCGGCGGACCGTGCGCTTAAATCTTCAGCCACCGAACCAAAGGGATGGTGTAGTGCAACAAAAGGAAGAATGCAGCAGATGCTGGCATTATTAAGGTGCAATCTGATGGGATGCTCGGCATCTATCCGTAATGAAAGGGGGGAAACGAAATATGAAAGGTCTTTCTTATCCCTAGCAAGACAATATTACTCGCTCAGTAGAAGTCAGTCCGATGCATGTACGTATAGGTGTCCGACGGGGAAATCAGCTTGTACTTCTTGCTTCAAGAGGGCCTGCGATCCTGAATCCCGTCAACCATCCTCATTGTGTTTTTCTCAATAACCTCACAATATTTCTGGGTATATCAAATAAGATTCGATTTCAGTGACTCTTCAAACCACCGATTTTCTCTCTTTTCAATGATTAACTACCTCACCGCCCTGTTTTCCACCACAAAACCGACTTATCCTCGTTATGACAATTTCAGCTACTCTCAGCCATCCACTCGACAAAGTACTGGCTTTTCATCATCGACAACTTCATCATCGGCATACAATCACAATTATGAGAAACAAGAAATATCCGGGCGATTTATCAACAAGCGGAAGCTCCAGAAACTCTTGAAGGATCGATTTGGCAACGACTACCAATTGCATGTATGTGCCAGAAGACAGCCTACGGCGATCTTGCTTTCGCTAAAGAATACTAATCGTTGACGCCTGCTACGACAGATGAGGTCAAACAATTATCGTGTATACGCAAGAAGACCACTGAGCGAGGAAGAGATTTTAAGCTGTTGCTGATATAACTTTCTTGAGTTTATAATCTTGCCGTTAAATAGTTAGGAGTTCTTTTACATGTAACAACGCGATTTTCCCGAAGGCCATCTTCCTGTTCGCGATATTTTTTGTTTTCCAACTTTTTGCATTGATCAGTTGAAAGGAAAATAAGGTAGATATAAGGTGTATGTTTCTAGCAACTCACGTTATTCTCAATCACGGACAGTGTTATCCCTTGTGGTCCCTCAAAGATGGCCAGGTTGAGCGATTTGTGTGGAGGTAATGATTCAAAGCTACGTATTATGTTACTCGATGTAGATGAAGGTACGTAGACTTGGCAACTGCGAACTAGTAAGGTACCTATCCCTGATAAATTTGTGCAATGCAGAATCTTCGCAGCCTAGCAATCCAAAAGGAAGTGCCAGTGGCTTGGAGAAATGCCGTCAAGTAACGTCTCAACCGGGCTCCTTCGTAACCTAGCCTGTCAAATCGCAATGGTTTCTGCTTGCATGTATGCAGTCTGACGTGTGACTCAAGATTACAGGGAGCCTTTACCAACGTAACGAATAGCACTTGTCCTTCTGAAAAGTGCATAAATCATCTTGTCGAGGCATGCCTCACTCGATATGTGAATTCCACTTCTTTCATACCATTGCCCTTTCTGTCGGGTGCCCTTTTTCATTGCCCTCCACTATCAGGGCGATTAATGATCGATTTTGTCCTTTAGCAAAAGAATTGATGAGAAAAGCCTTTTCTCGTACACCAAGCCCGAATTGAGCATCAACTTGAAAATGATCAAGTACTGGTTCGTCTTGGACCAAACTCATTATGAGGCGCCCGTTTATGTGGATGAGACGTACAGGGAAGCTTGCGGCACTCTTCTTTTGGGACACATCATTCCTGGTATCAAGAGTCTGGATCAAGTCATCAACAGAGACGAGCTGCCTGGCTTTCCTCGAACCTTTCGGGTCCAACGATCGACACAGAGCAACGTCTCTTGGTCTCGCAGCACACAGTTAGATGGCAGTGCCGGCGCGAGCGCAGGTGCTCCAGCTCTTGCCGGGGTAGGGATAAGTATCCAAGCCGGGGTGAAAGTAGGGTCGACTACGGGAGGCAGTGACTCATGGGAGTTCGATCAGTTGGAGACACAGGCCATTGCGCCTACGACAAACTATATTCAGGATTGCATCAGGGCTCCTCAAGTTGCTGCATATGTCAAGCAGCGCAAGATACTGGGCAGCTGGAAGCTTTACATGATTACCGGAATCAAAATTGGAAAAGGCGCAAAACTTGAACACAGAGACTGCCAGGGAAAATCCGGGGGTTCAAACCCGGGCATGTGAGTTTCAAGCGGACCACAATTCTGTTAGTGAGCCTTACTGACAATTTCAAGCGACATCGCTGATGCCTTCAATGTGGGAATCGAGGGCCAGTATTCTCGGCTAACCGAGACATCAGTGACAGCTCAATATGACGATGCCTTCATTTGGGCTGTCAGGCTACTTGAGATCTCAGGTAGTTGGTTTCATTCAAGTATTGGGCTTAAAGCTGTCACTACGGGAACCACACTTGGTCTAGACAAAACCCAGGCTACTGCCGAAGCAACTGCCCTTGCCGCCGGGCTGGATAATTATTGTGTAATAAGCTCTGATCATCCAGGGGATGATGAGGAAATCTTGCTTCTCGCTGTCGACTGATTGCAAACACACTGTCATTGGTAATAATGGCATGTTGATGCCAGACGCATCTAATGTCGTTCACGTTAGAAGAGAGGCTACAGAACTGTATAAATTTTTGCACACTCATAGATTAGGCCAAATCTCGTCAGTAACGCCAAATCTCATCAGCCAAGTCAAGCGTCTCGATCAATTTGTCGCGCACCGTGGTTCTTATCTTATCCCTTGTACTTTCGTCGAAGCCAAACCCTTCCTTCAAGGGAAGCTGTCGTTGTAGGTTCCCTGGCAACAACTTCCACGGGACGATACACCGATAACACCCATCGGGTTCTGAAATCATACCAAGTACTTGGGTCAAATGACTCCTGTACTTCAAAACATCCGCAATTTGCTCCCTTTTGCCTTCGGGGTCTCTAACTTGCTTTGAGAAGTTCAGCAAGAGAGATACTAAGCCGCAGGCAAGCGCAGTCGAGTAAGACGTGCCGGACACCGTTCTGGGTTGTCTTGTGTTATCGGAAAGCTCCACATTCTCGCCTAGTATGGCAAAGTTGTTCTCATGGCGGCTTGTTGGATTGAGATCATGAGAGTTCTTGATGTTGCCATTCGTTGAAAAAGTACAAAATATGTCCCCACCCCAAGCGGCTGGGTACGTGATTTGTGCAATGTTTCCGGTATTGGAAGCTGCAGCAAACACATGGATGCCCTTGTTAATAGCATCTTGCAAGGCTTTCCGAAGATCGGGGACTCTTGTCGTGAACCCAAAGGCCATACAAATGACCTCCGCCTTCTGCTCAACTGCCCAGTTCACTGCCTTGATACATGGCAACGTGAGCTTTAATCTCGGAAGATTGTGCTTTGATTCAAACTCACATCGACTACTGCCTTTGCAGTACCACCGGTTTCGTTGTTTTTCTCCCAGACTCGAGCCACCAAAACATCAGTGGAGTCACACATTCGGTAAATTAGCTTCACAATGTTCGAGCCATGCCCCGTAATATCTGTCATCTGTACTTGCTCAGTTCTAGTGAAGTCGCGATATGAGTGAGCTTGAATTCCGAAATGCTTTGCCTCTTCCTGAGTAATACCGGTATCCAGTACTGCTACTCGAGTCTGGGTAGACTGTTTACCAGGACTCAAAATGGAATAAACGTCATTCATCTTTCTAAACCAGAGGGGAGATGAGTTCTCTCCATGACTGTAAGCTTTTAGTTAGAAATGAATGCGAAAATAGAGGTTTAGTCGCGTCTTTACCTTCCAGAAACACTGCCGTGGAAGTTTTCTAAACTCAAGGGGGTTGTCTCATTGACCACGCCTTCACTGCGGCTTGGCACCTGTGTTGTCACTTGGGTAGGGAAGTTGGTGTCCCATTCTCGGCATCCAGGTGAGACGGGTATCTCGTATTGAACCCAATTCCTCTTCAATCGCGGAATGATAGTGTCATATATCCATTCATTGATCGACATCTCGCCCTGTTCTTCAAAATCAGCCGCTTTCAAGCATGAATTTATAGCTTTTTTTACAGATCCATGAAGGCTGTATTGAGAATCACGACTCTGGGCCCAGGTTTTGAGACGACTGCGTTTGTCAGATCCTGATTGAGGACCTCTCGGCAATCTCTTTCCAGTTGAAATTTCCATGAGAACTTGGGCGAATGACAGCATTAGAGTTTCAATGGTGCCTGTCTTGGATTTCTTATCTGAAGATGGCGTTCCTTTTTCGTTTGGTAGTCGGACAGACAAGTATGGCCTCTCTGCATCTATAGTCGAGGGGTTTGAGCCATCTGACGCTCTTGGGCTCCAAGATAGAAAGATGTTGTCGAGGCTCCACTCGTTTTGGACCCACGCGTCCGAAGAAACATGAACTAAAGCTAGCGCGAGATTCAGGGAAAGTGCTGCCCTTTCCGCAGGAAGTATGCCTCCGTCCATGGGGCAGTGATCATGACTGCCGATCCAACCTTGGTCAAGAAGGTTACCGAGACATTGTGTCGGGGTGTGAGGCCTCTGCTTCGATTTCTTCTCATTCGCAACGATAATGGGCCTCCTATCGCTAGCTTGTCGTATACTGACATACAGAGGCTTTATAGACTCTTTACAGAGACTTAGAAGCCTGCAGAAGTCATCCGGGTATGCAGAAGCTTCTACATCGGTATCCTGTCTTGAAGCACAGAGGCGTTAGCACACTTTCAAGATTTCCATGTGTTCACATACACGATTATGTCGTAATAAGCTTCATGCCAACTTATTTCCAGTTCTGAGTTGGATGAGAGGAACAGAGAAAATCGACCGGCTGCGTCTGCGTTCTCGGTGCGGAAACCATTCAAATGAAGACGCGCAATGTGGTTTCCACAACAGCGTGACAGACGCACGAGAACGTCATATAGATGACTTGAAGGCTCAGTCAGGAATACCCTGCGCTCGGACGGTGTTGTCATCTCGAAAGGAATGTCGCCTCCCATCGTTGTTTGGCAAATTGCTGAACACCGGCCGAAGTCAATTTCGTTCCAGCGATTTTGCTGTTCCAAATCTACTGCTAAGGCCTCCCATTCCCTTAAGGTTTCGAGTTTATCGGATGAATCGGAACTACATGGGTTTTCTAAAGCTTCCGGAAGATACTCCCACAGCTCTAACATGTCAAGATCGGCCACTAAGAGCTCAGCATCGTTCCGGGAGTCCAGCTGTTCTGGAGACCGATCAGTCTCGGGAACATTTGCAACTATTCTTTCGACATGTTCTTTGATAGACCCTACCAGGCCAGAAAATGATTTTTCCAACCAGCTCATAGGGTAGGTAGCCGGAAAGTTGAGGACGGATAAGAATTGGCCTAGGTGCGTCTCCTGGATCTGGGATGCGATAGATTTCAATTGTGATGTTGACTAAATGGAACCGAGCAGGTCGCGAGGATGAGGGAAACCTGTGGCGGGGCTTTCCTGCTTTCCGTCAGCAAATTTGGCAAGTAACCGAAGGCAATTATCCGCACCTTCGTACTTTTGAATCTCAGATCGAAGGGGTGGGGCCGCAAACGGGACCGGCTCATGGAGCTCGGCGCCCCACTCCCCTGCTTGACCAATTTTGTTGACATCCAGTCAACTGTTCTTTTGTCCCTCCGAAGTCACTTCGACATGCAAGCACCAACCACCAATTGACCGCACCACATGCCTGGTAATACTAAGATGTACATGCGATGCCACTCTCCATATTCTGGCACACTCAGGGTGAACGAATCAATGTTAGGGCACGTCGATTGGACTCCAGGGGTAAGGGTCGAGTCTGTTGTGGTTACAACTGACACATCTCAAAATAAATATAATTCCAATCAAGGTGCAACTCTCGTCTCTTGGCCCAAACTTCATGTTCACAGCACAATACCCTGCAAACGATGCTCATTGTGACTTCTCCAGCTCTCCACCATGAACACATCTATCTTCATTGAGAAGGGTCCTGCGATACAAATTGCGGCCCGTGCCTGCGACGATCAACTCCACGATATGATACAAATTACCCACCGAGGGAAAACCGCTTTGAGAGAGCTTCAACAAAGGTTTCTGGCCTGGGCAAACAATTCCGGTGTCTTCGCAGAGCCACAGCTCTGCCTTGACGCTCGACTGAGCGGTCACAAGCCGCCTCAATTGATCATTTTAAAGATGCTCAAGCTCATACAGCGCAATCTCGAAACTGGTATTTCATCTCAAGCGGCTGGATCTTGAACTATTCGGATGCTCATTATGACATAGCGCGGAGCAACACTATCATTGTGCAGGAGGGGAAACCCGAGACTAGGTCAGGGGGCAGGTTTCAAGAAACCGCTGTTCAATTAAATCATACCGAGCAACCTGGCCGAGATTTGGACATTAAGTATCTGAACAGCGCCTTCAAGGGGATATCAGGCGCTGTCGAAAGACTCAATCGCGTAGCCGCGTTGATCTCGAAATCTTCTAAATCAAGCAGGCCAGCTAGAGTGGAAGAGTTCATCCGAAGAAATCCCAAGGACTCGGAAACTGAAACACTCATCACAGTCATGGTCTCCAGCAAGTTCCAGGACATCCCCGGCTTGTTGAAGAAACAGCTTATAAGATCCATGATCTATCGAATACAACGACTCGACTACGAGTGCGACAGACGCGAAAGGGTATACAATACACATGCTGGAGAAGATCATACAAGCGTCTGGCATGATGATGAGAAAGCATCGACATATCATCAGTCGATCTTCAATGAGGGCTATCCTGCAATGCAATCAGAGCGGACCAGCTCGATTAGCACGGCGGCAACAGCAACAGAAACAGAGATTCAATATCCGCGGCAACCCAAGGCTGAAACTTCTGAAGACATCACAAGGAAATGCCAGTTCTGTCGCAAGCAATTCCCAACGAAGCAAGTGACGAAAGGTCGATGGTGGAGGCAAGTACAACTCTTTCCAACACATTTTCTCACACCGATACTCAGCCCAGTCACAACGTAACATGGAGATTGGTAGAATTAATCAAGCTCTACGAGTACTTAGGCGTCACGTGGATGAAGACGTAGAGCCGTTTGTTTGCATTTCGGAGAAGTGTGCATATCCCCCTCAAACGTTTGCGAAGTTGACCGCATGGCGAACACACATGGAAACCGAACATGGTCTTGACTGGATGCATCACGCTCACCGCCCGCAAGACTCGGAACACGAGCAAAAAGCAGTAATATGCTTTATGTGTAAACAAGTCATACCAGAACAGGAACCGCAGCGAGGGCAATCTGCTGGATTGTCTGAGCCTGTCAACACTACACGCACCACTATTATTCCAGAGAGTCCAACGCCGAATTATCGACGCCGTCAAGTCCAGTTTGCAGATGACAATAAGGAGTCGAGAGTCGCTCCGGAATCTCGATTGAAGGGAATTGAAGTTACAAGGACCCATTCCAGCCAAACAAACCTAGCAAGCCACATTGCAAGTCATCTTCAGTCCCTGTGCTACCAGTCAATCAGCATTGGAGTTGATGATGAAGATACAGAAGATGAAGATATAGAAGAGGAAGGTACAGAAGATGAAAATACAGAAGATGAAGGTACAAAAGATGAAGGTACAAAAGATGAAGGTACAAAGGTTAGCGACAACACAGAAGGGGGCGTTGCCGAAGGGGAGAATGAGAGATCCTCGTCCGATGGTTTGGATCGTTCCAGCGGTCAAGGTGGGAAGGAAAAAGATGTTTCGGTAGAATCCCAGAAAAGGGACTTACACACTGACACAAGTTCCCCATCGAGATCAGGCCAGAGGAACGAATTTCGAGCAACTGACGTAATTTTTCATCGGTACGGCAACGTCCGAGTCTTGCAAAAGATTCTACTACACTTTGGCATTCCAAAGACCGATATCAACATAAGGGTATGATGGCAGCGAGAAATAAATGCTAATACGGGAAACTCCGTTAACGAAATATGTATTGGTAGGCTACAATGCAAAGAGGTTTCGAACTACAGCTTCCTCGGCGACTGACAATGGTTCGTCAAGCCTGTTACTCGCCCCAAAATACCTAAGTCTTTGCTAAACCAAGTGTGTTAGGAAGAAAAAGAAATTATTATGAACGAATTCGACCGTGCAGCATAGAAAGCGTATTTTGGGTGATTGAGAAGATTCGAGGCAAATTACAGCATCGTTGATTGTTTCTTATTTGTACGAATTTCTAAAGACTCATTCGTCCCTAAGAGACAACCTGAGCACTTGTGACAAGAAATTCAAGACCTTCCAAAGTCGAATGGCCATGAATCTTAGAAACGCAAGTCCAATACTTGGCTCCAATTATGAATCTACTGTTCCGTGACTCTCCATCGTGCCAAAAGGTCACGGGCCTCAGCCGATGTAGCTCGGTTGCCGCTATCTGCGACAAGCATTTTCGATTCCATGAATTCAAGCAGAGTTGCAAGAAATTGTGTGCACATAGAGTCATCTAGAAGAGACTGTATTTTCTATGATTGAAGGCAGAGAGTAAGCACATTGTCTGATATTAATCACGGCCTGGTTAAATCGGGGGTTGTGTTCGAGCCTCACTCACTATCGTGACTGATTCTTTGAGCACCGGGACCATCTTCGCGCCTTCGAACATGGTACTCATAGTCCTCATCCTATCTGAAACTTCCTTGCCTCTACGCATGGAGAAGAAAGTATCTTCTAGAACGGGAGGGAATCCATGGTCGTCGTATGTGTCGTGTACTTGTTTGAGGCGCTCGGCTTGAAAGTCATCGATCCCGATTGATCCGTTCAGAGCCCAGATAGCGAACTCAAGATAGAGGCAACCCAAGCACCATACGTCCCAGGAAGTACCTATCATTGAGTGGGGGAACGCTTCTTCGGGTGGCCGATAAGTCTTGATTTGGACGACGCTGTTCCGCCGCACGTAGCCATCAACGACTGGCAAGGCCAAGCCGAAGTCGATTATCTTTAGGATCCATAATGGTCTTCCGCCAACAAAATCAGCAAAACAGACAACATTCTCGGGCTTGATGTCTTGATGTAGCTGAGGCTGAAGAGCAAACCCTCCCAACTCGGAGCGATGGCCATGAATGGTGGCAATGGCATCAGCCAGGTTATAGCATTGGTCTGCCATCCAGTCCATGGAGTACCACGGCGCAAAAGAGCTTATGCCTTCTTGGGCACCAACGAGGGAGTACTCGTCCCAGAATTGTCGCAGGTTTCCACCCTGTGCCCAAGGAAGCACAATGTAGAAGGCGTCTCTATGTTCGAAGGCTGTGAGAAACGCGACAACGTTTGGATGTGTCACCTTCTGATTCGATGCGATTTCGCTCCTAAATCCTTCTGCAGCGAATTTCAAATTTCGACCCTTTTCGAAGGCTTTCAGCGCAAAACTGTCTCCTGGCATTCCCTAGCTTAGGTTAGAATGTGAAAAGGATGAACAACGCGTAGGCGGTCGTCAAGAGTGCTTACTAGCGCATGGTGATCTTGGTGAATCTTAATTCTCCGTACAAAGGTTCGTTGGCGTCTATTCCACTTTTCCCGGACCTCTAATTCTATCCATGGTAGGCTTACATCGTTTGGAAGTCGTTGGTGATATTCGTGTCCTGACGGAAACATTTTTGTAAAGTACGGTGATCTCATGGGCCACTGTTCCTGAAATACAAGATCTTTCTCTTCCAAATGGAGAGGTCGGAGAATTTCCTGTATCGCTGAATGATGCGCTGTGCGCGCGTCTGCCGCATTGATCGGCCACAAGCTATCGCAAAGAGAGGGCGAGGCTCGCCAACAACTAATGATCAAGTCTTCTCGAGCCATAGACAGAAAAGCCGAGAACATGATTCTTAGACCAGTACAGGATGATTCTCCGCACTCGCAAGCCCCCTTTTTCGGGCTTATGAAGGTGGCGATTTTGTCAACAAGAGGCTCGGTATAAACACCAGGATCAAGGAGTATTTGCAGAAACTCTTTGACCCTCTCGCGGCTCAACACAGTGAATAATTGACCTCGAGGAATGAACCATCGACTGTAATCTTGGAGATCCCTTTGCGAAGTTAGGTGAAGTGATTGCTGGATTACATCGCGCGCTGCTTCAACAAGATTGGGGGAATGGGCCTGGAAGAGAAAGTCGCATTTTAGCATTTGATTTAGTCGTAACGGTTGAAAAAAATACTTTCATGCCAGTGGAAGAATGAGTTCGAAGGTAGCCACTAGGAAATTCAACTAACCATCGTAACCACTCGTTCACTTGCTCTGATTGAAACAAATGTGCTTGAGCAAAAGAAGCCCTGCTCAAAATAGGTTGCTACCTACGAGAACTGAATAGGAATTCGGAGCGCAACCGTCGCTCGTGAGCTGTAATCCATGTCACAGGGTTCCGCGGGCGAGCTCCGTGGCCCAGTGCACCGGACTTCGCCCAGGACGACATGTGCATTGCCGGTCTTGATCAACTCGTAACGCCAAGTGCGCCTCTCAATACCCCGCGAATGTCGTGGCCACCCACTATTGGCACTCCAGTATCAGTCAATATTGTGCCGACTTGTGCATTATCACAGGATGAGATATGCTTGGTTATTGGCTTTTAAATGTGCGAGTACTAGGTAGATGGGTATGCAGTAAGCTGCCTGCCTCCAACGGGATTTGCACAAAACAATCTGCAGTCATGGTTGCATGCATATCAGAGGAGATGTAGCAGCTACTTCAGCTATACCAAACAAGATTTTGCCACTTTTTGTGAGAATGACTTACGCAGGCTGCAGACTACCTCCATGTTGATTTTGGAGATTTGTCCAAGCCAGTCGAGAAAAGAGGAAGTGAAAAGAAACTGAGCACGTGTCTAAGCACTCGTAGTCAATCCCTTTGAACATTTGCCCCAAGCATCTGATATGTATCTCTGTCATCAGATTTATGCGTGCATGGGTCCAAAAACCTTTTATCGTCTCACTCATTCTCTGTCTTAATATCTAAATTTACCAATAAGACTCTGCTCTGCTACAATATCTTGAGTTCCAAAAACTGGGAGCAGTGATAAATGATTCTAGCCAAGCTGAGCTATCTAATTCCGAATGAAGATTACTCAATAGATAGAAATTTGGCGTTATTGTATTTTTGCCACTATAATGCCAAGTTGGTATCACTTGATCTCATGACCTCGCACTACGAATGCTGCATCGGCAAGTAAATTCAGAACGTAGTCAGGATTCAAGAATGACTTGCGACGTTGACATAATGAACTGCGTAAAACCGGACGAACACAGAGTTCACATAGACTTCGCCCTCGCCAGGCTCAGTGGTAACCATCGTGCTACAACTCTATCTTAGGGCTTTTCCAGTCTGGAATCGGGCTGATTACGTCGATGTTCTTGTATTATCCCGACAGACTATGCCGAGAACGAGCTTCCACTGGCTTTTGTGGACATAGTAACAATTAGAATACAGTCGTGAATGGAACCGAGTCAGGATGTGAGGTTCACTCTCACTTCGTGAAAACCATGAGCCAAGAAGCTTACGAGTACCAATAAGTAGTGTTGAGAAGTTGATTATTATCCATGACCAGTTCAATTTACGTAGCCATGGGTTCATAATGTAATTCGTCCACAAATGGCTGCAACACGACTCGTGTAACATGCCAACTCCGTCCTGAAGGAGTTACTATCAGTCAAAGTTAGGCTTTTCTCGGAATCAAAAGCAATATAGGTTGATGATTGTTCTCCTGAAATTTGTACATAACGCCACCTTTCCCCTGATCGGCAAGACCTAGTAGGAAGGACTTCTCAACCACCACTATCATTTCATATCATCTCAGCCACTTGAACAATCAGTCCAACTCGCAAATCAGCAACACGATCACCATCCTCTAGTCCAACCATTCAACATGAAGTTCGCTGTCTTCATCACTGCCTTCACCATCATCAGTGGCGTAGCTGCAAAGGTATTTCCGAATCACTGCGCAGCAGACCTTTTGCTGTGAGCTATTTGGTGTAGATACAGTGCTAATCCGGTATCCAGGACTGCTGCTGCAATGTCCTGCCCGCCAACAAGTGCGATTGCAAGGATTCGTATGCCGACAACGTCAACTGCGACGAGATCTGCCGCATCAGGAACAGCTTCAGCTGCTAATTCATGTGAGATACGTGATGGTCCGACACCAGATTGAACGATTGAATTCCTAGACGGACGTAAGGTTGAGATAGATCCAAAGCGGGAAAGCGGGATGCTTTATCAGATCGAGTTTACGTTACATATCGGTGCCAATACACTGCCTACATCGTTTGTGCAGCAACATGGCTTCCACCATGTGACAGGTGTCTAGAGTTGCTCTTGCAAATGAATTTTGGATAATGTTGGAGAAAAGCGGCCCATGACTATGTTGCGTATTGGTAGGCGTGTCTGTTAAATCCGTCCGCTTTTCTGAAACGAGCAATACAGATCACAAAATGCTGTAAGTGTGCTGCCTGTTATCGCAGTTATTTGACAGATAAACAGCGGAGAAGATAGGCTCACTGACCTTTGAGAATGCGAGCCCTTTCCGCCTGTCTCATGAACGCTTTAACGCCTTGTATTGACCCAAAGCGGCTCGTAGAGTGATTGAAGGAAGAAAGTGCAAAGCCGAGACGAAGAAAAGAAACCATGTACAGACTCAGTTATAGTTTAATTGAGTTCAATATGTTTGCTCCGGATCCATTGGACGAACGGTCGCTCACTAGATCTTGGCGGGTAGCAAGCTGAAGTAGCACAAGGATCGTGTTGTTACCTTCTCTCGGAGGCTTCACTCCGGTTCCGACCCTGAAGGCAGGATATTCGTGGAATATGACCCCACATATTTCGCCAGTGGCCGGAAAGACTTTCTGATATTAGGAAGATCTTGGAAGTTCCTTCAAAGCGTCCGTGAATGCCGAGTAAGCGACCGCCGGCAAACGTTATGTGAGAAGCGTGAGTGATGATATGGAAGTTACTTAGATGGCAGCTTTATTTAAGAAATGGTCGGCCGGCCGATGTTGAGTGATTGAGATGATTGAAGTCTAGATAGACAAGTGTTTCGAGACAATAACTTCGGAGTCATACTATTACAAGTCGCCATCACTGCGGAGAATGAAGTACTCGCCAGCCGCTCTTCTCGCTGTGGCAGCCGCTTCGGCCGAGGCCCACTGTAAGTCTGAATATCAACAACTCACAAAAAACACAAAGCCGGCGCTGCACGTAAAATACAAGATAGCTCTAACCTCTTTGAATTTAGACACTTTTGGTCGCCTCGTCTACGGCGGCACAACCTACCCCGAATGGCAACACGTGCGCAAGACGCTCAATTTCTACACCAACGGCCCGGCCGACGGTGTATCGTCGACGCAGATTCGCTGCTATGAAGCAGACGCCGCTGACCGCGGCAGGGTGACAACGCTGCCGGTATCGGCAGGCTCAACGATCGGATTTGCGGCCAACGGGGTCGTAGGACACCCGGGACCGGCGAGCTTCTACATGGCCAAGGTGCCGACCGGCCAAACCGCGACGACGTGGGACGGCAGCGGGGCGGTGTGGTTCAAGATCTACCACGAGAGGCCGACTATTACGAGCAGTGGGTTGGAGTGGGCTTCTACCAGTGAGTTGTTTCCAATTTTTTGCCTACTTTTTTGTTGTCTCCAGCATAATATGACGGAGAAGAGACTCGCTGAGTGTTAAAGAAAAGGTTGGAAATGGGGGAAACAGGGCAGAAAAGAGGAGAAGTGCAGAGACTAAAAAGCTTTCTGCGGGTTTCAAAAGAATAGGGACCCTCTCACTTTTAGTGGAGAGTGTGTGAATCGCGTGCCCGCAACAGATTCCCTTCGCATAGGGCTGATTCAGTGATTTGTGGGCTCGTGGGGGTTTTCTCGTCAGTTGGACAAGCAAAAACTAATTATGAATAACGTCACAGACACCCAAGTCCTCTCCACCAAGATTCCGGCGTGCATCCCATCAGGCGAGTACCTCGTCCGCGTCGAGCACCTGGCGCTCCATGGCGCTGCCACGGAGGGCGGAGCGCAATTCTACCTCGCATGCGCGCAGGTTTCCGTATCCGGGGGCGGGAGCATCAGCCCGCCGGGCCTCGTGTCGTTCCCGGGGGCGTACAAGTCCACGGACCCGGGGATCCTGTTCCAGCCGTACTGGCCCACGCCGACGAGCTACACTAACCCGGGACCGGCCCCGTTCAGCTGCTGAAAAGCTTGTGAGGGAGGTGCCGGGATTCCGGGAGCTCGGGAGGCGAGGACCGGGGTGGTTTCTGGATGGTTTGAGTTGATGGGAGGGTTCCACTTCCCGTCGCAGGGATCGTTCATCCGTCTGATGGTTGATGGGACGTGATGGTGGTCTAGGCTGGGCATGATTCGGCGGACTTTGATTCAACTGATTTCCAGGTTTTTGTTGGGGTTCACTTCAATAGGAGACTACGTACCTTACACTATCACACTGCCTATGTCATTCTGAGCCTGGGGCATGATCTGAGAGTCTCGACCATCATTTCCCCTCTTCCCCCGGTTGCCCCAGGAAAGCCACCCAAGCCACCTGGAGTAGCGTAGGTCGCCGGATTGGAATGTAGCGGAGGTTTCCCTCCTGGCGACTGGCTCATGGGCTATTTCCAGCATATAATCTGGCGGACTAGCGCGGTGCCGTGGCTGTTTGGGTTAGGTCCGCGCGTCCCGCTTATGGTTAGGGATGGTCCTGGATTGTTCTGGGATGGTGAGGGATGAGATGTTCGGCTGGCCGCCACAGGGATGCGGGTGATGTCAGGAATTGCGGGGATTTGTACGTCATTCACGCGAGAGGCGTGGCGCAAAGCTTGAGATCTTCATCGTGCCCTTTTTTCTCTCGCTCACATTTCCCTCGCTCTCTCACTCAATGTCTCTACTCAGTCACACCACCCCCGGCCCGGCCACGTCGTCTGCTTTTTTGTTCTGAGCTCCCGTAATTCCCATCGCCCGATCGTGATCAGTGCTCTTTTTTTGAATGTACCTTACTTACCTAATCCCCCCTAATTACGTCTCCGTGGCCTGGCCTGATTCCCATCCGTGATCTGCATAGATCTACAACCTAAGCTCACCTCCTACAAGTACAATTCACGCCGAGAAGCTCGATACCTCCCATCCCCGAGTGCTACCCTGTTTTCACATTCCCATCATCTCATCAAACCCATCTAAAATCCATCGAAATCGCGACGAAGGCTATTCTCTCGAGGCAACACATGCTCTCGTCACAGTCGATTAAACAGATCATCAAGCCCTTACCGCACCCCCATCGAAAGATATCATGATGAAGATGAACACGGTCACGATGGATGAGTACGGAGCTCCGTGCTTCCCTCACGAGACCCTTCTCACCCCTCCCGAGTCCCCCGAGCTCAAGCCTCCCGAGGTCCCCGAAGTCGAAGGGGCTGCTTCCGGCAACACCACCAGCATTCCCATCCGCAAGAGCAGAAGTCCCTCCTCCAAGAGATGGAATGGCGACGGCAAGGGAATCCAGGTCGATATCGGTGCCCGCCTGCGCGAGTACCTCGACTGCCTCAACAACCGCAAATTCGATGTCATCGGCAACCACCTGGCCGACACTCTGATGCGCAACAACCGCAGCCAGACACGCGAAGAGCACGTCGAACGTCTTCGATCGCGCGTCGAGGGCCTCGCGAGCTTCAAGATCAAAATCGACACCCTCCTCGTCGACAAGAAGGCCCAGGCCGTGGCCGTGCGATACATCAACCGCGTCACACTCGCCGACGCAATGATGGATGTCGATCCCGTCGGCACGACATACGAATTCGACGAGCAGTGTTTCGTGTGGTTCGACGACAGGGGCAAGATCTCGCGCATGCTTACGCTGCAGGATAACGACGGCATTCGCCTGCAGACACCCGAGGCCGCGACCACGCCACGCTTCTTCATGCGGAGTCTTCCGGCGGAACCCATTGATTTGGCGGCAACCTATCGCAAGTACGTCGCCAGCATCAATCGGCGCAGCATGGTCAGGGAGTTCCCTCGCTACTGCAAGAAGGAGCTGCGACACAACAACCGCGTTCTCTCGGTGCAGGACTACGCGCGCAGCATGCAGTACAGCCAAGAAGCGATTTCGGGACTGTGGTTTAACATCCAGGAATTGCTCGTCGACGAGGAGACGCAGCAGGTTGCTGTGAGGCTGCAGATCTCGGGGACGCCGGTGCAGGAGTTTGCGGACGCGAAGCCGAACGGGAAGAGTGTCAAGTTTCACCAGCACTGTATGTATCGCTACGACAAGGGCAAGATTGCCCTCGTATGGGCGACGATGGAGCTTGATTCGTACCGCAGACAGTTGCAGGAGAAGCCTGGTGACAGGAGAACGTCGTCTATGTTGGGCATCAACTGAGCCCAGAGACACAACAACTTCAACAGGGCTGTATTGTATTATTAGCTTACGATTTGACGGACTTTGGGTTTACTTTGGAAAGACAGGAGCCGGAAAGGTTCGGAGCGTGGCGCTCTGACGCTGGGAGTTTTGGATCTTTCTGGGTTCAGGGTCAGCTTTGAGATAATTGTAATACGCGGTTGCTACATGGCAACATATCTCCCCTGAAAGAATTTAGACACGATTCTCGGTGACAATTTACGCACAACCTACTACTTCATATCCAACTGCCACGGAGTTAGCAACGGGAATAGCATCCAGATGCTATTCTACTAAGTCTCTAAATTGGCATATCCGCTATCATTCGGTATCATCTCAGGTCACGGAGTAGGTCATAGCACCGGGCTGCCTAACGATGCCAGATCACGAGAGCCCTGAATGTTGGACAAATTCCTCAAATGAGGAGACTTGCACAAAAACAGCACGTTGTTTTTCGATCTTGATTGACACCCCGTAACAGCAGGGTGTTGGGCAAGGGATCGCTATCTCATCTAAGGTACGTATCAGTCGTCTGTTACCATCTTTCATTCCGCTTCATGTCGCACTTAGGCGGTTCTTTTGAGATTAAGTCTGCCCTCTTGTGTAGGGATCAATGCCGGGCAAATTCAGGCGCGTTCGTCCCCTTAGTCCTACCTCTAATCCTTACGACGCATGTTATGCTGAGATGTGCATCTTGCCGCAGAAGGAAATCTGCGGCATCCAATAGACTATGCTCCAGTGCAAGACCGAGTAGGAAGCCCTGCCCCTCTCTATAGATACTTTCGTATCTGCTCCACCTCCCAAAAGCATCCTCGTGATGTTGGGTCGGTCACTAGAAATGAATTCTGTCAAAGATAGATAGATCTATCTAAGGAGTTTGGGTAGGTACATACCCTTTCGGAACTTATCGCTTGGGCACCCGTCAGCTGAGATACCGTGCCGAGATCGAAGCATCATTGTGGGAAACATGCCACCACAATGCATTGAGTTCAAAGTTCTATGCATAAGCCAAAGGAATTTACGATTGTTTGGGCTGCCGTTTGCTGTGTAATTACACCGAGATGTCGTGGTAAAAGCAGTTGCTGTCAATAATATGAAGCACAATATCACTCGATAGCAACGCGATGTAGTCCACTAAATGAACAAGAGTAACAATGAAGCCCGATGATACAATGCGCAGCCGCTCTCAGGTTCGATCTCAATGGGATTTCGTAGAGGGGCGTTTAACAGCCAGAAAGTATGCTCATATCCCGATCATTTCGATATCTCTACCCCATTAGTAGCACCTACAACCGTATGATTAGCCTACCTAGACATGGATAGAAAGCCAGATATCCATACCTAGAGTCGTTTTAATGCTGCCATAGATGGCAAACTGGCCAGCGGTGAGCCCACCAATCATAAACAGACGTGCCGGAAGCCCAGAAAATGAACCACGGAGTCCGAGCTCGCCCGCAATCTTGTAAAGACGAAACGCGGTACTTTCACCAGGCAATCCCTTTGTCTTGTTGATTTTGGACAGCATGGTGTCAGCTGGTTGCGAGATGACAGCCGCGGCACAACCTGATAAGAGACCGGATCCCATGTTAATCATGAGCTGGGTAGTGCCGGTCTTGGAGTTATCGAGATGGGCGAAGAAGAACTCGGAAATCTTTTCGAATGAAACGAATTTTGTAACCGTGTAAGGAACTCTTTGCTGGTGTCAGTACGTGCAGCAATGCAGGCCAAGAAAGTAATGAAATACAGCTTACTGTTTGAACAAAATTGGCCCAAATCCGGAGTATAATGCACCAACACCCTCATGCTTCAGAATCTTGCTAAAACCACCCACCAACCCGTTGGCGAAGCCAGGCACGGATACGAGTCTAATGCGAGTAGCTTCCGCGGGACAAAGTGTGACGGTAGAGCAACACTCAGCACAGGCTGCCGAGATGGAGTAGACTGCAGTACGGTTCCTTCTTGCTTTCTCGAGCCCAACGATCTCAATTGATTGTTTCTTGAAAAGTTCATACAGGCCAAACTTGACGCCTCCTTGGATAAAGTAGCCGGTGAACGTCGGGCCCAGACCTGTGAGTAGAGCACCGACACCTTCATTGCGTATCAGTTGGCGGAAACCAGCGATCATACCGCGGTTATAAGTTGCTGGTTCAAGTTGGATCTTCGTCTTGACACTATGGTATTGTTATGAGTCTGGCATGTGAGAGAAAAGGTGATAAATGACGTACACATCGACGGGTGTGAAGACAGCGTGAGTTATGGAGCAACCCAAGGCGCCAGCAAGCGCGAATCGAGCATATAGATCCAGCCCTTCTGGCTTCTGCATGTTGGCTTGAGCCTGAATGGCAGGATATGCGGCAGCCATTGCGAATTTTACGAGCGTGAAGGATACGGCCCCGAGAGAAGCATGTGTGTAACGAGGTGGAACGATGAGGGAGAACATCATTAGGAAAACAGTCTCATGGGACGCATGCTATGACTCGGCGGGTGATACCGGGTTGTCTCGGCGAGCATTGAACGCCGTATATTACTGTCGCCGATTCCCCGCTAGACCCCGACCGGGTACCTTTATCAGCGGCCGCACATAATATGGGGAATTCGTGTCCATACAAGCCGGAAGAGACATGTAACCGGCCGACATATAACTTCGCCTTCCTCTCTTTTCCTGCTGTTTGCTTGTAGGATTATTGCGACAACAGCGTGGCCTCAATTGTAGGCATACCGCTTTCCCCCGGCCGACGAATTTTATCGGTCCCCGGGTTCCCGGAGGTGTGGATCCCCGAGGATCCGTCAGATGCAGCGAATCAAAACCCTTCACTCGGCTCAGGTGGGTCGCAGCTCCGTGCGTCGCCTGATATTGCCCGGAGCTCTCAGTCGATGGGGCTTCCACAGCCGGAGGGGTTATCGGTGGCATATCGCAGTGCACTATCATTTGCCGAAGCAAGCTGCATACGTTTCCATCGTGGTTTTTATATTTCCATTGCCAGCAGACTTTGGTAAATGCTTTGACCCCCCAAAGCATGTGATCTTCAGAGTCTATGAGCAGAAGTAAGTCGGTGCTGAAGAGCAAGAACGATAGATCGGGTCCGAGAAGGTCAATGTATCGGCGCACGTCAGCTTTCTAGAGCAAAAGTGAAAGACCAATATCTCTATCATTTTATCGAGACTTTTCCATCCAGTTGGTTCGGGTTCCCGCGGGCCTACGGATAGCTAAGCCTCAGGATCCACCAGCGAATACAATCTGCGGACCTGGGGCGCTGGAAGGATGACAAGCACCCATGTCAGCTTATCCTGATTGGTGCAGGGATGGCCTGATGCTGATTTCCCCTGAGTCTTGCATGCCCTGCATCTTCGTTTTTGTGGTCAATTGGCAATCGGGAATGTCATTGAGGAGTGGAAATCCAACACAAAGGTCGCTGTGATGACTTACAGTTTGCGAAAGGTACTTGGCATCAAACCTGATGGAAGACTCTAAAGTTCAGCCCTATTGTTCCACGGGCGGCTTCAAGATGCAGACACACAGTTTGCCCTAGGGCAAACAAACTTGAAAGTTGGAAAATGCCTGAGATCTTAACGGCCGCCAGTTCCAAGATCCCGCCCGCCCAAATATGAACATCCCTGCATTCCCGCCGCCTTGTCTCACCGCCCCCTGCGAGGCGCGAAGAAAGGGTCCAACCTGCTCAGCTGGCAGCTTTGGTCTCGCCCTGTTGGGGGAAGGGGGCCGCCGGCAGGGGAATATTGTTACTGTTACTTCTTTAAGCGACTCGCGCTTATGGGCACTTTCTCAACAGTTTTGTCACACAACTTTCTGCTCGAGAAACATACTGTTTGATTCTTTTTCGCCTCGGCATCTTCTCGTGGAAAGCTGAGCTGAGCTGAGCTTCGCCTCGACTGCGTGACAAGGACCATGATCGAACCCACCACCGAGATCGCGCATACGAAGCGCGCTTCGCCTGTCCCATCCAGGGCGCCCAGGCTTGCTCACTCACAAAAGCTAAAGACCATTGACACGAGCCGGAGGAAGAAGCTCGTCCAATGGCTCTTTGATAACCAGACAAGTACGTCGCGAAGAGTGGAGGGAAGCTGACCACATCTACCGATGCCGTGCATCACACCCATTCATCCCACGAGTCAATGCTGACCTGAAGTTCTCTAATTGACCAGACCTTGCCTTCCATACAACTGCCCCTCTACTCCTCACACACACCTGTATCCCCGCGGCACGTCCGTATACATCCAAATTCATCAAACTCTCATATTACAACACGACAACCGGCAAGTATGGCGCCGGCCACGACGACCTCTACTTTGTCGCATTCTGCGTGGTTCTCCTCATTGGCATCCGGGCCGCGCTGATGCGCCACGTTCTTGAGCCCCTCGGCCGGCATTGGGGCATATCGAAGAAGAAGGATGTCGCGAGGTTCTCAGAACAGGGCTCGATGCTCACGTACTACAGTGTCCTATGGCCAGTGGGAATGGTACAGTAGATTCGCATTCTCACCTCGTGGGCATATTGTCAACTAACCGGCGAGTTCTTAGTACCTCTATTGCAAGGCGCCATACTACCTTAACATGAAGGAGCTGTGGAACGATTGGCCCCAGCGAGAGCTCGGCGGGTTGATGAAGGGATATATCATGGTACAATGGGCATACTGGGTCCAGCAGGTCATCTCAGTGAATATTGAGGCTCGGCGCAAGGACTACTGGGAGATGATTGTGCACCATGCCATCACCATCTCCCTCATTGCCGCATGCTACGCGTATCACCAAACCCGCGTTGGTCATCTCATCTTGGTCTTGATGGACGTCATTGAGTTGATCTTCCCTGTCAGTCCTCCATGAAACAACGTCACGCACTAAACCACCTGCTAACAGTCACGACAGCTGGCCAAGTGCCTCAAATACATCGGTTTCACAACTCTCTGCGACGTTATCTTTGGCGTCTTCCTCTTGGTCTGGGTCTGGACGCGTCACGTATTCTACCT